AATTATCGATTATTATTAACTCTCTTTGAATATAATATTGTTGAGTAAAATTAAAATCATAACTATTTTAAATACTAAATGGCGGTATTAATATTATTTGTAAACTGCACTACTACTGGTAATTGCCGGCAACACAAGTTGCTGTTATATTGTTAAAACTTGTTATGTGAACAAAACTATCTCTCTATACACTATTTAGTCTCTACAATACAGCGAATGTTAATAAGATTATTGTGTCGAACGTTATTGTAATAGTCTGCAGATTTATGGTATAATTTTACAATCGGCTTATTAACAAATTACAATATGAAGCAGCAGGTGAAACTTTGAAGTGTTTCTCCTATAATATTCAACTTTCTGCCACTCGAGTAGTTCGTTATAGAAATGACCATTTTCTCACTCCTTACTTGATATTAAAAATAAATTTTACATTACAATACAAGATGATTGATTAATTATGACAACGAAATAAATTCAAAATCTGTTAGGGATAGCTATTCTTTAACGAAACAGACAAAAATCAATACCTCTTATTCTTTATTTCTCTTTTTTGGGGGTAGTTTTTGGACTCCTGTAAACGAAAAGTTTTAATCTCACTATGCTCACTGCCTGGGTTTTTTTAAATTTTATAATTGGTAAAATTTAATCATCTAATATTATACTTTGGCCGTAATTCGAAAATAATAAAATATATTATTAATAAATTATTGAAACGATATTATATTAATGTGCATAAAATATAGAGAAGCTGGGATTCGATTTAGAACACAATGTAATCGACAAAGTACGCATCGTGGTTCCGTGGTGTAGCGGTTATCACATCTGCTTTACACGCAGAAGGTCGCCAGTTCGATCCTGGCCGGAATCATGAATTTTTTAATAATGATTCCTCAAATTATAAGAAAAACTACAATCACTTGTTTTTTTTAATTCTTGTTGTACCACAATTTTGTTATACATTTTTTTCATAATAATATTTTATACGGGGCGTCAACCAAGAAAATTGGTGACATTTTTTTAGGAGAATTTTTTGAGACGCTAAATGTTTAACAATCTCCATTAATTCCCTTGTTTGCTTGATTAATTTACTTGTTTACACTATTTATTCACTCATTCATTAGAATTAGGTAGGTACTTTTTGATTAAAGTAATTTACTCGTTTATTAAATTTTTCATTTTTTACTCGAATTACATACTTAATTTACTCGATTTATTTACTCCATTGGTTTACTTTTCTGTTCGATTCATTTATCCGTTGGTAGGTACTAATTATCAATGGTAATATTATTTTTTGTTTGATGTCTTAGCATAATGTTTTTTAAAACAGTTTTACATCTATTCACATTTTAGTAGGTAAGGTCTAAGAAACATAGAGGCTGGCATAATTTAAGATTAATAATATAAATCGAATGAATTAAAAACATAGGAGTATAAAATATATAATTTGATGAGAAACTAGAGAAAAATTGATAATACATATTAAATTGGTTTAAGAATAATTTGTCGGGTAAACGCTTAAAACTTTAAATTACCTACTTTTACACAATTTTCGAGAGCATTGCTATCAATGTTAAACAGTAATTAATAATTTAAAATACCAACCAAATGTATTATAGGTATTTATATAATACTTCAAATCATGTTTTCATTGATTATATTTGTATTTTACTGTTGTCAAATAACGAGTTATAAACCATTGTATTTATACAATGGTTTATAGTATAAATACCAAACTATCGGATTTTAGTAATTAAATAATTTCCACTTGTATTCAAATAAAAAATAATAATAATAAGTGAGAAAATTGAAAATGAGTAAATATAATGATTATAAATATACCTAATTTATAATTATAAAAAAAACATCATTTTAATAAACACTAACCCATATTCAAATTTTTAATTTTTAATGCAGAGTTGTCTAAACAGCATTTAGTGGTCTACGATTGGTTTGTGCAATAAATTAATGAATGTCTTTAAATAAATTCATACTTGCCTTCTCGTTTCATTCAGAATCGATTATCGTTTATCATTTATCATTTGAGTAATATGTACACCTATTTTACTTTTAAGTAATAATAAAATATAATAAACAGAGCACTCGATATCAGTTTGGTTTGAGTTAAAAGAGGGTTTTTTCACCTTATATTCCACCGTGGTTCCGTGGTGTAGTGGTTATCACATCTGCTTTACACGCAGAAGGTCGCCAGTTCGATCCTGGCCGGAATCATGATATTTTTTGCATTTTTTTATAAGTTTTTTAACACCGCATACGATTTGTTTTAAATATTTTATAACACTTAATTTGAATAATACACTTAAAACCTTTTAGCATAAATGATGCATGTTCATTGATTTTAAATCTGTTTTTTTTCTTTTTTTACCTAAAGTTTTGAGTGGTAGGGTAGGTTGGTGTTAACAAATATGACGTTTGACCTATTTTCAAACACAATTATAAATTTTAAACTTTAATAACTTAAACATTTTTTTTTCAAAACCGGCTATCCACCGATCAAAATGTTCAGAAAATTATTTTTAATCCAAAAAGTTAATAAATACAATTGTTTTTAATAATAAAATCTTTAAAATTGTAATATTTTTTCCTCGCAGTGTAACTGTATTCCAATGAAAACTCTTATGATATGTTGTTGGTGAAATACAAAATTGTAAATAATATTTTTTTCTCTTTGCAGTATCGATAATAGTTTTTTAATTTGTTTGACTGCACTTGTAGTCGGACGTGTAGGATGAAATACACAATGGATAAAATATCTTTAACGCAGCACAAGATACACGGACCGAACGGATAAGAAATAATAACTCATAACACAATGTAATAAATGGCGTTACGCATTGCTGACTACATTGGCTCCAGGGAATAGAATTGGATGGTGTTAGCTTAGGAATTTCTACCTTTTTTTTTTTTGTCAAGGGCTTTTAAAGCAATCATTACCCCCCGAAGGTATGTCCATTTTCCAGAGGAGCTTGACAACAAAAAGCAGTGAAAAGAGTGCCACTCAAAAAAAGGTTAACTGTAAGAAAGGATGATAAATTGTTCCCATACCACCGTGGGCACTATACGGAAATGACAGTCAAGTTGGAAGTATCGGTTTTATATACATTGTGATCAAATCGAAAGGTACATTGTCGCTGTAGCAAAAAAAAAAAGTACGTTCTTGAGACAAAAAACTTGTAGGTAGCTCGTTTGATCATTTTTTGGTTTTTTTTATTTTTGTGAAATAAACCTAAGCTTACCAACCAACACACGTTTAACGGTAATACTTACTATGACTTAAATCAGAACACTATACTGAAATATTCTAATACAGTTAAGAATTCTGACAGCTTACTGGTTTGTAGAAAATAAAATATGAATTGAAGTCTTAATTTTTTGTATAGAGTTTTAATATATTTCAATGCTAAGCTATGCCTTTTTGTTTCAGGAATAATATCCTATACTGTTCCAAAATAAGTTCAAAGTCAGTTAAGCTATCAGAATATCATACTGTTAATCATTTTATGATAGTAATAACTAATAAAAAAAAAAAAAAATTTGTGGCTTGGGAAATACCTAAAGAGGTATTGTCTGTATAATGCCCGTTTGAAAGTATAAAAATGTTACTTGAAATGCAATAATTAAAATTTAATTTACTTTTGTGCGAATTTAGAGGGAAATCCGATTAATGGTTACATTTTTCCCGACAAAAACAGTAGTAATTTTATTCTACAATATATTTTTGTAATGCTATACAGTTTCCATACATTGATCATTTTATGGAATTTTCTAGATTGCTGTATACTCTGTTCTTATTCCGGACAGAGTATAAACTATTTAAATTCGTTATAAATTAATAATAATATATTGGTAACATTGATACACCAGTAAGTCGACAAAGCTCTGGAAAATTACACAAGAATTCGGTCCAGTAGTTAAAAGATAAGAGGAGCCCTGACACCAATACTTACTGTTTACTAATGGTAAAAGTGGACACGAAGAAAGACAATTTGTAACACGAAAATTCACGAAAACCTAACATTAATAAGAAATTTTAATTCTAATAATTTTTTTAGCAATATTTTTTTTCACAGAGGCCAAATACTTGGAAAATAATTATAATTTTATAGTTTATCTTTAAGAAAACATGGTATTTAAGTCACAAATATTATAAATTTACAAATATTTAACTTTTTTTGGTATTTTCCAGAGCGCTGTCAACTTTTGAAACTTGAACGACAACGTATATATCTTTAAATTAGCTTTTTAAAAGAAAATTGGTTTACAGTACATTTTGACTGGTCGATAATCAGTTTTGATCATTTATTTTCAACGCTATTAAAGCTTAAAATTAGGACAGAGGAGGAAAGATAGAGTGTACCGCAGATCACCTCTCGCCCAAAATGTCTGTCAAGACTCTCAATTTTCAGAAAATTATTCTTATTTTGAAATATTATACTTTAAAAGGTAAATGGTAATGTTAAAAAGTGATAATATTGTTTACAAATCATATAAAAAATGGGTAACACGAACGTGTCATGTAAATTTGCAATCGGTAAGAAATGTATTATTTTTTGTTTTTCAGTGAATTAGGGAATAATTTCACTTTTGTAGAGCTCAAAGATATAGTACTGCTAAACATTTCAAAAAGTGAGAAACACGACTGTTTCACCGGAACGGTGTAAAAAGTGACCGAGTTACAGATGTGAATTATTACATTTTTGAAAAATTGAGAGACATACCTACATACCTACATTTAACAAGAACACGGGTAACGGTTGGATTTTCTAAGACCACAAGGCGACAGCAATAAAATATACGTCTAGCTGTTTGTAGAGTAGGTAAATATAGTGTGGTTTGTTCGGGAGAAGACAGCTGCTGTAGTTGTGGGTCGGTATTATAAATTGGACGGAGAAAAGTGTTTTTGGTCGAGTATAATATTTATAAAATAACGTGCGCGAATCATTTGTTCTGGGGCGATGGTCGCCTTTTGTTTTGGCACCTACCTTTCCCACCACTGCGACAAGAATGATATTTCCGACCATATGAACGTCATGTTTTTGAACATTGCCAATTTGTCGACCATGTTGTTCAGGATGTTTCTGGTCTGCGAGTGATAGTAGCCCTCGTAAGTCTTTAGCCATCCCGGATCGTTGTGCGAGTGTGGCACCACTATGACCTAAAGTGAACAAACAAAAATAACGTTTTTAATAATTTCAATAATAATAAACGAAAAAAATGTGTTAAAAATTAGGCAAACTATTTTAGACTTAATATATTATATATAGAGCTGTATATAATAATAATATTTATTTATTTAGCAATATTGGAGTTTACAAGAATGGACTATATATAGTGGACTATAGAGCTGTAACCATCATATGATGTCATTTATTTGAATAAAAATAAAAACTTTCTTATAAGTTGTTAAACATACTGCAAAGTATTATCTTCATCAACTATACACATCATTATTGATAAATTCAAATTTCACACGATAATAATATGATAATGTGATAATATAACTGATAACTGATGTCATACGTTTTTCTTCACACGGTTGTAGAAGTGAAACAAAAATATGTACCAGAGAAAATATGTAATTTCGTCATTATAGTGACACTGCAGCTTGCCTTTTCGCTTGCTTCCAAATTTGTATAAATCTGACAAAGAAAAAATTGATCAAAATTCCTTTTCCCGAAAAGGATTGGAAACTTTTTCTTAGTTTCGCTCTTTTGGGTGTCGTTTAGGGCTTAAGGTCTAAAAAATAGATTGATGGTAGATCTAGAACGGGGCTATGAAGTATATGACTTTTTCAGAAACTGTACGTTATATCCACTCTAGGGTTACCTGTAGTCTAATTTTCACACCATTTGTACCAAAAAACCTAAGGGAAGAACTTTTTCTCAACGTCAAAGCTAAAAAAATTACCCTTCGTGGGGATAAGAAGTCAATCTTGTTTAGCCTTTTGCATGTGTCGGAAAATAAAATAATAATGTCTTAAATAATATATAAATATATGAATAATTTTGAATTCTGGGTCGACGTAGTACAATATAATATTTGTTCGTCAAAATCCCATAGGGTTTTAAAATCTTTACACTTTATGCCAATGAACCTTATCGCCCAGAAACATACAAAGTCGCTTTTCCGTTTTTTTTTTTACAAGAAAGAATGTATATATATTTATATATACATCTTCCGGATCTTATACCATGCCGGCAAGACGTTTATATTCATAATACCCGTTCTCGCATCGTCTCTTATACATTTTATGTTATTCAATCTTCACAAAAATAAATGTATAAGTGTACACTGTATACCGCTGTTTTCAAAAACACAACGTCGTCCATGTCCATCACAGTTAAAAGTATTTTTTACAAGAATAATATATGGTTATTCATATTTCACGTTACATTGTTTTTTTTTCTGTGAAATAATTGTTTAAAAAGTGCCAGATAAAATCCTTATTATAAGACAAAAATTATAATTAATATTTAAGCTAAAACTATCATTTTAAAGGATGTATGGTATTTAATATTAAAGGGTGGCATTTAAAAGTCAAACAGCAACTTATGTATTAAATTTGCGTATGAAAAGTAGACTGATGTCGTGAAAACAATGACAGGTTGATAACCAGTTTTGGATAACTACTTTTTAAATTATTTTATATTTAAACTGGGGTGAGGGGGAGTTGAAGGATTTTATAAAATAAAAAAAAACCTAATGAAATTAGCTCTGCTTTAAAATAATAATAAATGTTTTTTTATTGTATAAAAAATGTTTAACCAAAAGATTGAACAATATGTTATAAAGTCAATATCAAAATCACAATTGTAAATATGTCAACAAGTAAAAATATTGCATTTATAATTGGGTTAGGTATTAGTAGTGTCGTTCATTGTAAAAGTAAATTATCTCCTTGTCATTATTGAATTTTGAAATATCGAGCTTTTTTTTATTAAATGTGACTCCATTAAGCAAATATATGTCAATTTAAAAAATTTGGAATTACGCCACTTTTAAAATGAACGAGCAAGTTGTTTTTTTAGGATTTTTCTAAATAAAAATAAAGTTTACTATAGATTATTATTTTTTAAATGTTTATGCTATAGCAGGGCACATTAGAGTTAAAAAAAAATCTTTTTCATTCCTTGGTACATCTAATTATAAAAAAACGAATCAACGGACGTCAAGTAATCCAATAATTGATCCATTTTGTTAGTGATTGCTAAAATATGCCCATGTATTTTTTATCAATTAATTAAATTCTACTAATTTAATTTACCAATAATATCCGGTAGACCATTTCTACGAATATAGTTAATAATATATTATTATTATTTTGTATGCTTATTCGTTTCTTTTGTGTGATTATAATTTCGTAGAAACTTGGGAAATAACGACTCCTGCTGTTAAAGTGATTCCAGGAAGAGAGGTAGCGAGAGAATAATATTTACATTACTAAACGCAGCTTTTAAGTGTATTTATATTGATTTGTGTAAAACACAAATACACCTTTTCCAGAATCAATAATATATATTTAAGTTAGTACTCAAGTTACTGTTAACCTAAATTGAATAATTTATTTTCACTTTAACAAAAATGTTGAAAATATAAATTATATTTTTAGCCTTTATAGAATTATGTAATTTATAAAAAAACTACTTTAGGTACCTATGTATAAACTATTTGATATTTAGGTAGACAAGTCGTTTTTATTTGGGTTAAGATGGGAAAATGTGTTGACCTAGTGTATACCTATTGGTTTGACCTAGAAACCATATTATTATTGTGACTAGTTTTTTTTTAAAAGTTCAGTAAAGTTACGTCGGATACGTTTTCTTACTATAGTCTTATCGTTCGGTGGAAAAAAATTTATACTATTTTTTATTATATTCCATTCGTTATTTTTTATCGCGTCGTTAAAATGCATTTTATTTCTTTTTTCTTTTTAGCGATTAACGCTTATTTTTTATTATTTATTGTTAGTTTCGAATAAAAAATTATCTAATTCGTTTAATAGTTCAATACTGAACAAATGGTATGATTGTTTTTAATTGGAAAAAATAAAAATAATTACTAAAATGTTTCTCTTGTGAACAACAACAGATGGAGCTCGTTATAAAAAGAACAGAATAGTGCCCTCCCTCCCATCCGCTGCGGTGTCCGAGTGGTTAAGGAGTTGGACTTGAAATCCAATGGGCTCTGCCCGCACAGGTTCGAACCCTGTCCGCAGCGACCTGGTGTACATAAACTTTTTGCAATTTTGTTCATTAAAAAAAACATTTTTATCTTATTATTACCATCGTAATTATGGTGCTTTTCGCATGATTACGATTTTAATTTTTAAACAAAATTTAATTAATCATATTATATAACGCTGCTATGCAACGTTATACTTTAAAGTTGGCCGCCATCTGTGTGTGTGTTATAAAAATAGTGGATTTTTTGGTTTTAAACATTTATTATAACAACAAACTAATGTCAACGTGGTTGAATAATAATAATATTGAATATTATTATTTGCTCGTCATTTCTTTGGTAATTAATTTATAATAGTAGTAACTATTAAAACCGCTTCTCTTTATTAATAAAAATGTTTTAATAAAAACAACAAAGCATATGATTTTGTTATAGACAATATTTTATTCCGAATTATGCAAAATAAGCAAAATATTCTCTTATCTGCAAAATAATATACTGTCAACAAATTCATAAAGCCGGTAAATGTATGTAAAATCCCAAAAATCCGCCCTTTAGTCATGAATAGGTAAATTCGAAGAAGTAATGTGACAGTAATAATATTTTATTCGCCATGTAGGTATGTGGACACGTGTTAAGCCTTGTAAAGACTATAAATTCGTACCTAACTGTATATTTGGCATTCGATAACGGTTAAAAAATTGGCAATTATTTTTTCTATAAAGAAACATTTTTACTATTTTTTTTTAAAAACTTTTTTTTGTATTTGTATTGAAAATTATTGCACGATAATAACGGTCCCGCCCAATTGTAAATGTTGTACACATAATATAGAGGAGCTATTGCGCTGTTTCCATCACTAGGTGTGTATCAGCTACTAGGCATGGTCTGCTCGTTCCGGACAAACCGATCGGTATATTGTTATTTTGTTGGAAAACGAATTGGTTTTATTGAAAAATATATGGCGGTCGTTAATGTGTGTGTGTGTGTGGGACGACCATACAAGACAATATAATATAATGTACTGCGGCAGAAATTTCCGCGGAGAACGGCCAATAGCGACGTCGAAATTGGCACTAAAGTCAATTTCGTTTAAATAATAATAATAATAATATTATTATACAGTGTTTGTACACTGTATAGAGATATATTAGGTATTATACGCCGGCGTTTCCGCCCATCCCATTTCAATTTCCGTATACAATCGTGAAACAATGACAAATCGATTTCAGGTCGCGTACAAGTAGGTCGCTCGTGAAAAATTTATTTTTACTTTTCCAATCGATCGAGTAATTTATAAAAACCACCATTGCCTCGACGAAGTGGAAACTTCTTCCTTCGGGGACTTAGATTATTATTAGGCTGGAGGTATAGTGGAACTATAACATGTACGACATGTTATTTAAAAATCTAAAATCAAACACCACACTTTGACCGTTGATTGTTCTAGTTTGCTTTGTGTCAACAAAGGCAACAGGTGAAAATTGAATTTTTTCAAACTTTTGAGTGGCGTTAATTTATAAGAGAATTTCGCAGAGAAATACTTCAACTATCGTGGAATAGTTTATTTTTAATAATAATTTTTGTATAACTCTGGATTTTTGTATCCCCTCTGGATTATGACACCATATAGTGCGACATATAAGAAACAATTAAAATGGGTCAAAGAAATTACTTTGAACCATTTTAATTGTTTCTTATACAGCCAGGTACAAGTAAGTGTTCATGTTAACATCAAATAGAGGTCTGAAATTTTTTACAGCCCTTTTTTTTTTTTTTATCAATTTTGAACCAATTTAGAGAGCGTCCCAATTATTAGGATACCACCAAACCCAAAATAAGGACCACTCTAGTAAATGCCTCTGCGAATGACGAAAACCTAAATATAAAAATAAATAAAAAAACCTAACATAGGATTTGATGGCACTTTAAGGTTCCTTTTACGGATTGTATACGTAGCAATCAATCGACGAC